TGGCATAATTTGGGTGCTGTCTGTGAAAATCATTTATCAACTTTAGACATTATATAATGCCATTCTGTCCTAGGCCTTTGATGGTAGAGGCATGGGAAGGAAGGTCTTTGTATTCAAATGAGTCCTTTACTGTCTTTTTTCAAAGATTCATTTATTTTAGAGGTCCAAATTCCAGAGACAGAGGGAGAGGTACAGGGAGATCTTCCATCCACTGGTTTACTCTCCAGATGGCCACAACAGCCAGCACTGGGCCAGACCAAAGCCAGAAGCCAGGAGATTCATCCGGGTCTCCCACATGGGTGGCAGGGGACCAAACACTTGGGCCATCTTCTGCTGCTTTTCCCAGCAGGGAGCTGGATGGGAAGTGGAAGAGCCAGGATTCAAATCAGTGCCCATATGGAATGCTGGCATCGAAGGTGGTGGCTTTACTGAGTACGCAACAATACTGGCCCCAAAGAAATTATTTTCTAAAGAGATCACATGTATCCTCCCATGAAGACATCAGCCATGACTGGTCCCAGTTCCTGGGTATGAATCCTGATAATTATCCTACCACAGGGAGCTGGCATTGTGGCATAGCAGGTAAAAGGTAGCAGGCAAAGCAGGTAAAATCACCGCCTGTGATGCCAGCATCCCATGTGGGCCCTGGTTTGATTCCTGGTTGCTCCACTTCTGATCCAGATCCTTCCTGATGGCCTGGGAAAAGCAGTCGAAGATAGCCCAAGTATTTGGGTCCCTGCCACCCATGTAGGAAACCCTGCAGGAAGAAGCCCCTGGTTCCTGGCTTCAGTCTGGCCCAGCGCTAGCCATGGCAGCCATCTGGAGAGTGAACCAGCAGGTGGAAGATTCTCTCTCTCACTTTCTGTGTAACTATGATTTTCAAAATAAATAAATAAATCTTAAAACCAAATTATCCTACAAGGAGTGACCCTGGGGCAGGAGGCATAGGCTGCTCAGGATTTACAGCTTGCCAATCTGTAGGGCGTGTAGAGAGTTACAGACAGACATGGTCTAGTGGGGCACCACTGACATTCAGACAAACATATAAAGTCACACAGACTTAAAAGCACCTTTATCACCCATTCAGCGAGAAGGCCCATGCCCATAGGCCCAAGGCCAAGTATCTCTCTCTCTCAAACACGGTCAGACAAGCACATGCCCACAAACAGGCAAATTCTATATCACACCCAAGGAGACAATAAACAAACACAGACAGAGATGAACTGCCAAAGGTGTACACACACATACATGTAGACATGGCCATATGCATACATTCACATGCACTCACACATCTGTGCAGGTATATTCACACATGGACACCCAGCTATGTACATGCTTGAAATGAGATGATGTATACATATACAGACACTCTAACACATAGAATTTTGTTGCACAACTGGGCATGTACACCTATGAGCATATTCACACAAATGTACATTGCTACATTAATTCTTTCCCATTCACATATAATCAGACATGAAAACACAAATGTCCTCACAAAACACACTCACACTATGACAGCCAGGTATACACACTATGTACATTGACACACATTCACATGCCCACATAAGAAGCTATGCAAACAAAAGAAGAATCATTTACATTTGCATTCCCACAGACAAACTTGGACACAAAGGCATGCTTACACATGTGCATACATGGGAGAACACTCACATACTCACACACACGTACATCTGCACAAGAACTGATCCACCCTCATCACAGACACACACATGCAAAGACATTGTCAAATATATATATATATATATATTCCCAAATGTACTAATAGGCTGAGAGTGTTAGACACAAATGTATTCACATTTTTCAACAACATATGCTCCAGAGCAAATATATATATAAATACAAACACATGCATGCAAATAGGATTATGCAAACTGGTACATACACACACCTGTACATTTGGTCAGGCACACTCACAGACATAGTCACACACAGAGAGATGTACAAGAACACACAGATACACACACACACACACACATATATATTCTCTCAGATACACACCTAAACAGATGTTCATGTATACTAATGTATACCCACGACCACACACAGGCATATTCAAACACACATTCACATGACACACACTCAGAAATTAAAACAAAACATGAGACATGCACACCCAAGTATTATGAAATGTAGCTACTCATGCATACCACAATCAGACATGCACTTACACATCACAGTGTACACACAGAATTAGACACACGAAATGCATCCATTCACCTATGCACACAGCCTTTGCTGTGCATAGGTGTATACATACACATACAGGCATACACTTCCCACAGCCACAGTCATACACATGATCAAATGTTCACACATACCCATCTTCATAGGTCTCTTTTCATTCATACACTCCCTTACCCCCACAATTAGTTTTCCTCATCCTAGTGTGCCAATCCACCCTAATGTTTCTTGAATCCATGTGGACACATAGACTTGTCTACAGACAATACACACTCAGACAGTCACACACAGGCACATATATAATTTAAAATGCTGGAGAATCCACACCCATGCTCACTCACAGAAATACATGAGAGACACACCTACACAGAAGCATGTTCACATACACACACCATCCCACACATGCATGGGCATGCACACATACATGCCCTGACACTCACCATTTAGATGCACCCACAGTCATGTGCACATGTGGGCATACATGAATATACACAATCAAATACAATTAGGTATTCACCTGATTGGCACTAGGAAACCCATATACTCATACACATAGAATTAGACATGTGCACTCAAAGGCAAATTGATACCACACACATATACAACCAGACATGCAACAGGCCTGTTGGCTACAGAAACACACCCACACCCAAGCCAAAATCAAATACACCCCTTTGCTCACCCAGCAGACATGCAAAGTCATACCCACCCCTCTGTACACACACAAGCCTGCCTAGGCACTCACACACTCCCTCATACCATCATACAGCCTGCTCACACACAAACATATTCAGTGTCCAGGAACAATTACACACACACACAGCCACACAGTTTCAGTTGCACACAGACACCCACGCTCAGGCCCAGATGCCTCTGGACCACAGACTGGGTCCTCTCCCTTCCACACCAAATGCTTCTTCAGAAAAGTCGACTTTATGCCTCAAAGCCCAGCCAGCCCTCCTTGCCCCTACGGAGGGGGCCTTCTGGGCTTCAGTTTCTCCCCTCCCCCACCTCCCCTTGGTCCCTGACCCCTCACCCCATGTTCCACCACATCTCCACACCCACGAACCAATGAGCACACCCCACTCTTCCCCCACTCCAGGCTCTAGGTGACCAAATCCCTGGGACCTGTTCCCCATAGGTCTGGCAGCTGCATGGGCCACACCCCAGCTCCGTTCAAAGCCCTGTGAGCTCAGAAGCTTCAGCCTTGTCTCTAGGCCCTGCCAACCACTGACCACAAGCCACACTCCTGCCAAGTCTCCCCTCAACAGGGAGACACATATATCATCCAGGCCAGGAATGCTGCAGGCTGCAAACTGGGCTTCTGCTGGCTCCAGGGGGCCCAAGCCTGTGTGTGTGTGTGTGTGTGTGTGTGCACGCGCGCGCACGGGTGCATGTGCACAAACAAGGGCAAGAGCAAGAAAGGTGGCAGGGATTGAGGTAGAGCCAGAGCCGAGAGGCTCTGCCCCCAGGCACCTCTTATCATTCCCTACAAATGAGAAGTGACCACATAGAGTTGCTTCTGCCTCCCCTCCACTTCTTCTCCCATTTGCCCACCTGCTGCCCTCCACAGATCCCTGCTGAGACCCTGGAGAGGAGGGTCTCCCAAATAATCAATAACAATATTAATCAGTAACAATAGTGATGGCGTCAGTGCCACCTCTAAGCACACCCCACATCTACTTACACAAACTAATTTAATTCCTTCACACACTCATGAAGGAAGGGTTAGCAGTCTCTGACAGGTAGGAAAACTGAGGCTTAATAAGTGGCGTGCTCTACTATAAAGTTACAGAGCTAGTAGTTGGGAAAACGGCCCTGGTAGACTCCATGTTCTCCATGTCCTAGGTTTTCCTGCCTTTCCTGATAGAGGGACCTCTGGCCACTGTGCACAAGGCCATAAGATCGGAGGCCCCAGACACAATACTGACATGTGAAACACAGAGAAAGCCTTGTGATGGAGGCTGGAGCCCACACTGAGGGGAGACTGCTGTGCCTGGCCTCTGTGAGTTGTTGTGTGGCTTGGTCCTTGTCTCCACAGAGCCATCGGGCAGCCCAGGGCCGGGAAGTGCTCCCCACCCCACCTCACCTCCCTTTAGCCCTCCAGTGGCTTCCTCTCCCCTAGCTGGGCATCACAGGAATGTCTCCCTGAGTGAATGAGTAAAAGCCTGTGCTACCTGTGGGGAGAGACAAGGGAGCAAAGGAAGGGAGGGAGGCAGGGAGGGGAACAGAAAAGGAGAAGAGAAGGAAAGAAGGGGTGATCTGGACTGGAAGCAGCTTCTCTGTCATGTCTACCCACCTGCTTGCTACCCAGGTGCTCACACACAGAGAGACACACACAGACACATGCACACTTGGCAAGCAGGCCAAGGAACCGGGAGGAGAGTGGAGGAGGAGGGAGAGGGAGAGGAGGCAGCTGCAGGAGGCTGAGCCTGCCTGGGGTTCAGGCATTGTGAGGGGGAATGCCGGCTTCCCAGGCTTCCCTTCCACAGTTAGCACAGCCTCGTGCCCAAACGCAACCATAATGACAAAAACAGACCCTGTGCAGGGAAACAGGTGGTGGTTCCCTTTCTCATGGGACATTTAGGATTGAGGAAGATGAGGGAAGATGAGGAGTCTCCAGGCTTGGGTAACCCTGTGATGGAAGAGAGAGAGAGAGAGAGAGAGAGAGAGGGACTGACTAACGGAGTGAGAGAAACAGAGCATGGCAGTGATGGAGACTCTGAAATATGTGTGGGGAGGCAGAAGGGAAGTCCCAGCCCCCCACCCTTGGTGAACGGATGCTGACTGCTTACCTGGGCTTTTTCTCAGCAGGGCTGTCTTGGAATCCAGGAAGAGGGCTCAAGCTGTCTCACCATGGATAAATCACAGCCCAGGCCACATTGTGGGACCCTCTGTGATCTGGAGGCCAGTGACTCTCCCGCTTCTGTTGCCGTGGATACAGCCAGGCTGGTCTAAATCGCAGGCATCAGGGGAAGCAGGCACCGGAGGGGTGCACTAGGCAGGGCTGGGGGTGTTGGGGAATACCAAGTGGGCAGCATACTGCCTTAGGGTGCCCAACTAGCTGGCAGGTGGGGGTCCCGGTAGGTGCTTCCCCCATTACACACTACCACCCCCATCTTCATGCCACTGCCAAGCTGGGAGGGGGCCCAGAGCTGGCCCCTGCTGCCCGTCTGTCCACCTGGCTGCCGGTCCCCCTCCCCCCACCCCCCCACCCCGTCTGCCTGCTGGCCGCCGCCTTTTGTCCTCAGAAGACACGGTCCCCGCGGGGCCTCTGCCAAGCCTCTAGCAGATGCTCAGGGTCCGGGGCTCCTCCCTGGGAGCACCCGGGCCATGGCCTGGGAGAGCCCCAGTTGGGGGGGGGCTCTCATCCAGGCTCACCCTGCTCCCGGGACCTGGCGGGGACGAGGAAGAGGTGCAGGTCCACAGCCAGAGGCAGCAGCAGAGGTGGTGTTGGGGAGGGGATGGACGCCAGAAAGAGGGGGTGGGGTGGAGAGAGAGAGGCTGGCCTGATAGCTGTGTCCCGGGTTTTAGATCCGGGTTGAGGAGGGTGGCTGAGAGCATCCGAGGGGGGTCCTGATGGAAAACGAGGTCTCCACGGGCCTGCCGGAGGGACCCTCCTGGTCTGGGAACCACCCCAGCTCACAGAAATCCAGGTCCCAAGATGCTGGGAACATTCAGCCCCGACAGGGCATCAGTGAGGAGTCCGGGGTCCTAAGCTGGACCCCATCCGGCCGCTCCGTCCCCCCCTCTCCTCGATTTGCACGGTCCCTGCCTCAGGGGCGGGCGGAGGAGGGAGGGAGGCAGGGAGGGAGAGGGAGGGAAGGAGGGAGGCTGAGCAGGCAGGGAGACTCCCAGCCGCCAGCCTGGTCCTCCCCGGGGCGGGGCGCGGGGTGTGTGTGTGTGTGTGTGTGTGCGCGCGCACGCGTGCGTGCGTGCATGGTGTTGGGGGTGGGGGTGCAGCGAGGGCACGGGAGCCGGCAGCGGGCTGACTGGGTGGGGATGCTGGCGTGGCGGCTTGTGCTACCAGGACAATAGCTGGCTGGGCAAGTGAGACTCGGCCTTGCTGAGATGCTCCAGAGAGGCGTGCGTGGAGGTGGGGAGAAGTGCCCTGGAGGCAGCCGAGAGCAACTCACGTGGGCTACAAGTACAGGGGAGGCGGGGCGGGGGACAGGGAAGTGGGGGCTGGGGTCCCGGGAGAGACAAAGGTCCTGTGGAAGTTTCTGAAACTTCATCTTATTTAGAATGGGGTTCTGTGGGCAGAGGCTGGAGCAGGGATCCGGGGGAAAGAGCACAACCCAGCTCCAAAGAACCCCTCTCAAAATGTCTCCTGGACCACCTTTAATAGTTCCAGCAGGTAGGCATAAACCCACACTAAAGGCCAAGATCCAGGAAAGTAGAACGGGACAGGCGAGGAAAACACTTGGAAGTTCGAGATAAGAAAAGGAAAAACTACTTGTGTCCTTCCTGCAAGGGATTAAATTGGGACCAGTGATTCCTCTCATTTATAGCATTCAAAAATTCCAATGTATTCGATATAAGAAATTTTCTTCTCTGCTTTTTTTTTCGCCCTTATGTATGTATTGGTTCATTGATTTATTAAACAGTGTTTTATGTTAGCTCCAGGGCTGGGCAGTGATGATGTAGACTTCTATCTGATGAATCACACTTGCTTCCTGCTCTTAGGAAACCCATGCACCACTATCCAAGTGTGGGGCTGGAACCCATCTGCATTTGAATACCCTGGAGAGATTGAAGTGTAGGCACCCTCCCCCCAGGCCTACCTCCCAGAAAAACTAATCTAGTGTAGCCTTGGGATGGGGTCTCCGACCTTTATTTGACCAGATCCTCAGGTGGTTATGGCCCCCTGAAGTTTGTGCACCATGCTGTGGGAAGCAGGAAAAACCACATGGGTCAGAGAGAAATTCACAATGGAAATTAGAAAATATTTTGGATTGACTGATAATGAAAATTTGAAGACCTGTGGGATGCTGCTAAGACTGTGCTTAGGGGCCGGTGCTGTGGCATAGCAGGTAAAGACGCCGCCTGCAGTGCCAGCATCCCACATGGGCGCTGGTTCCAGTCCCAGCTGCTCCACTTCCCATCCAGCTCTCTGCTATGGCCTGGGAAAGCAGTAGAAGATGGCCCAAGTCCTTGGGCCCCTGTACCTACATGGAAGACCTGGAAGAAGCTCCTGGCTCCTGGCTTCATCAGCTCAGCTCCAGCCATTGTGGCCAGTTGCAAAGTAAACCAGAAAAGAGACCGGATCAACAAAACTAAAAGCTGGTATTTGAAAAAAATTAGAAAACATAAATCCCTGAGACCAATCCAGAAAAACAAACTGTAGGAGGTACATGAAGAGTATCAACAGCAAAAGGAGACACTACAATGCAGGTCACAGAGACATTAAACAGTAAGAAGGGTTTTTTTTTTTTTAAGACTTATTTATTTATTTGAAAGGCAGAGTAGAGAAATGGCCACATCCAAAGCCAGGAGGTTCTTCTTGGGCCATCTACTGCTTTCCCAGGCCATATCAGAGAGCTGGATCTGAAGTGGAGCAGCCGAGACTCGACCTACACCCATATAGGATGCCAGCACTTACAGACAGCAGCTTTACCTGCTATGCCACAGCACCGACCCCAGTAAGAAGGTTTTATGAAAAACTTTATATCGACAATTTTTTTAAGATTTATTTATCTGAAAGGCAGAGTTACAGAGACAGAGTCAGAGAGACAGAGAAAGAGATCTTCCATCTGCTGCCCCAAATGGCTGCAACGGGAGGGGTTGGGCCAAGGTGAAGCCAGGAACCAGGAACTCCATCTGGGTCTCCTACATGAGTGGCAGGGGTCCAAATACTCAGGTTGCTTTCCCAGGCACATTAGTAGAGAGCTGGATAAGAAGTTCAGCAGCCAGGAATCAAACTGGGTGCCCACGTGGGATGCTGGCCCTGCAGGCAGCAGTTTAACCCTCTATGCCGCAACGCCTGGTCCCAACAAATTGGAATATTTTGAAAAAATGGAAAAATACAATTCACTAAAATGCACACAAGAAAAAATAGAAAGTCTGAACAATCTATTAAATATATTGAATTTATCATTAAAAAAATTTTCACAAAGAAACTTCCAGGCCCAGAGACTGTCAACAATGAATTCTACAAAATATTTTTTAAGGTTTATTTTATTTATTTGAAAGTCAGAGTTACACGGAGAGAGAAGGAGAGGCAGAGAGAGAGAGGTCTTCTATCCGCTGGTTCACTTCCCAGTTGGCTACAATGGCCGGAGCTGCGCAAATCTGAAGCCAGGAGCCAGGAGCTTCCTCCAGGTCTTCCCACGCAGGTGCAAGGGCCCAAGCACTTGGGCCATCTTCCACTGCTTTCCCAGGCCACAGAAGAGAGCTGGATTAGAAGAGGAGCAGCCAGAACTCAAACCAGCGCCCATATGGGATGCTGGCACTGCAGGCGACGGTTTTACCCACTACACAACAGCGCGGGCCCCCACAAAATATTTAAAGGAAAAAAAAACTTTTAATTTTCTGATTTTATACAGATTCTTCCTGGGAATTGGAGGAAAATTATATGATCATTTTAAAAGATGCAATAAAATGACACAACTTTAAGTTTGCGAAGAATATAGGGGAAAATCCTTTAAAATGCTGTAGAAATATCACATCTAATTAAGACATGTTGAATGTTTTCTGTTTAAGATTGGGAATGAGTGAGTCACTATAATCACTTTTAATCAAATTGTACTGGAAACACTGGCTAGTGCTTTAAAGAAGGAAAAATAATAAAAGACATAAGATTAAAAAGAAAAAATGGGGGTTGGCGCGTAGCGCAGTAGGTTAATCCTCCGCCTGCAGGGCCGGCATCCCATATGGGCGCCAGACCTTTCTCTCTGTCTCTCCCTCTATCTGTAACTCTACCTCTCAAATAAATAAATAAAATATTAAAAAAGAAAAAAAATGAAAATATGCAAATATTTACAGATATTATAATTTTTGTGTGTAGGAAGTCCAAAAATGTATAGAAAGATTATTAGCTGGCCGGCGCCGCGGCTCACTAGGCTAATCCTCCACCTAGCGGCGCTGGCACATTGGGTTCTAGTCCCGGTCGGGGCGCCGGATTCTGTCCCGGTTGCCCCTCTTCCAGGCCAGCTCTCTGCTATGGCCCAGAGTACAGTGGAGGATGGCCCAAGTGCTTGGGCCCTGCACCCCATGGGAGACCAGGAGAAGCACCTGGCTCCTGCCTTCGGATCAGCGTGGTGCGCCGGCCGCGGCGGCCATTGGAGGGTGAACCAACGGCAAAAGGAAGACCTTTCTCTCTGTCTCTCTCTCTCACTATCCACTCTGCCTGTCAAAAAAAAAAAAAAAAAAGAAAGAAAGAAAGAAAGATTATTAGAAAAAATTAATCAGGGTTGTGAGGCACAAGGTCAATATATTTAAAAAAAAAAACACAGTATTTAATGCACCAGAAATAGGAAATTAGAAAAGTAAAAAAAGAAAACATTTATATCAGCATTAAAACATCGAGTCAAATATGAAATAATAAACCTAACAAAAATATGCAAGATCTCTATACAGCAAACTATAAAACATCATTAGAAGTAATTAAGGGGCCGGCGCTGCGGCTCACTAGGCTAATCCTCCTCCTTGCGGCGCCGGCACACCGGGTTCTAGTCCCGGTCTGGGCGACAGGTCCTGTCCCGGTTGCCCCTCTTCCAGGCCAGCTCTCTGCTGTGGCCTGGGAGTGCAGTGGAGGATGGCCCAAGTGCTTGGGCCCTGCACCCCATGGGAGACCAGGAGAAGCACCTGGCTCCTGCCTTCGGATCAGCGTGGTGCGCCGGCTGTGGCAGCCATTGGAGGGTGAACCAACGGCAAAAAGGAAGACCTTTCTCTCTGTCTCCCTCTCTCACTGTCCACTCTGCCTGTCCAAAAAAAAAAAAAAAGTAATTAAAGAAGACAAATAAATGGAACAATATACCATGTTCATGAATTGTAATGACAAAATTGATAGAGATGTTGAAATTCTAAACAAATCCCAATGTGTGTGTGTGTGTGTAATTTGAGAAGTTCATTCTAATATTTTTATAGCATCTCAAAGGCCCAAGAATAATCAACACAAGAAAGAATTTCCTCTACTAGATAGTAACACTATTAAAGCTACAGTATTTAAGATAGGGCAGCATTGATGCAAGGATAGAAAATAGACCAACAGAACAGAAGATGAGTCCATTACGTAACCCATGCATATATGATCACTTGATTTATGAGAAAGTTGGTATTGTAGAGCAGTAGGAGGGTAGTCTTTTGGATATTCATATGCAAATGTGTCTTAACCTCTGCTTCATTAAACACCCCTAAATCAATTTGCTGTATATTGAGATGTCAATCTAAAACATCAAACAATAAAGCTTCTAAAATCTGATATACGAGAATATTTTCATCACCTTGGAGTAAGGAAAGACTTGAATGAGACAAGAAGTAGTTACCATAAAGGATTGATACTTTGAAAATTAAACTGTAAAACATCTGGTCATCAAAAGACATCATTGAGAGAAATAAAGAGTAAGTCACAGAATGGAAGAAAATATTTACAAAATGTATATACTACAAAAGAATCACATCCAGAATATCCAAAGAACTCCTGCCAGCCATAAAAATAAAAATAAAATGACAAATAACCCAACAGAAAACAGGCAAGACACTTGAACAGAGCAGTTAAAGAAGAATATCCAATTAGCCAAAATCATGGAAAAATATGCTTAACCTCACTGGTGTGTTTACAAAATGAAACCACACTCACCA